TTTAAGGTCTCTGTTAAGACAGAGAAGCTATATATCACCAAAAAATGGTTCTCTCTCATAACTGTTGTTCTTCGAGACATGTTGCTCATGTCCATTTCAATTAGGTATGCACGCACCACATGCACAGACTCCAGAGTTTTTTCCCTTAGCAGTAACTGTCGGGCCAGCTAGGGAGCCCCCTGGAGTGGTGTTGGTATATCGGTGCACATACACCCTTGCTGGCCCTCCCCCCACTCAGATCCTTCTTGCCGGAGTCTTCCGATAAAGAGGTGGTGGTGGGATGTGGACTGGACATGAACACCACATCTCGAAGAACAGTTACTAGAGGTAAGTAACTATTTTTTCTTTGAGTACCTGCTCATGTCAATTCCAGTTAAGTGACTCCCTAGCAGTACCACAGGACGTGGGGTGAGAACCTAAACTGCTATGGAGTGGAACACAGCCCTACCAACGGCTGCATCATTCTTGGCCTTCTGTGTAATGGCGTAATGGGTTGTAAAGGTGTGAATGGAGGACCATGTGGCCACCCTGCAATCTTGAGGATTGGCACTTGTGCAACAAACACCATTGAAAGGCCTGCACCCTCGTAGAGTGGGCCATAAGTGGAGGCGCTGTTCATCCCGCAAAGTCATAACAGGCCCTGATACAGGAGGTGATCCATGAGGACAAGTACTGGGCCGAAACTAAGAGACCCCTCATCTTTTCCGCTACAGAAATAAAGAGTTGTGATGACCTTCTAAACTCTCGTCCTATCACTGTAGAAAGCTAAGGCCCTCCTCGTGTCTATGGAATGCTGGGACTGCTCTCTAGGCGTTGCATGAGGTTTTAGGAAGAAAACAGGGAGGTAGATATCCTGGGATATATGGAAATGGGAGACTACCTTGGGCAGGAATGAAGCGTGGGGACAGAGCCTAACCCTGTCCTTAAATAAAATTGTAGAGGCTCAGATGTGAGGGCCCTGAGCTCTGATACTCTTCTAGCTGATGTAATGGCCACCAGAAAAGCTACCTTCCATGGGAGGTGCTTCAGGGAATAGGTAGCCAAGGGTTTGAATGGGTGGACCCCAAGTCCTCTGACACTTCCTCTGCTTGTACCCCCAAATTGGCTGCCAATGTGTGGAGTAGATCTTGATATGCCCTAGCATCCATGGCTAGCATGGAGGGCGCAGGGTCAGGCATGAAGCTGGGATTGGAGCTTGCTGACCATAGTTCAAGGCGAAACCGTCACCAATGCACTAGGCTTTCCAGGAAGTAATTTAAATGGATATATGCTTGAAAGAGGCTTGAGCAAAAGGACCATTCGCTTCATTAGAACAAGATTTAAGATCCTTGAGGGCTCTGTAACGGGGAAAGAAAGGATGCATGCATTTATCATGTCCTTAAAAAACCTGGAGACTGAAGGGTATCTCCTTAATACAAAAGGGGCAGTTGACTGAAGCCCACAGATAAGATTTAAAAAGGCAATCCTGACAAAGGGTTAGATGGTGGGGAGAAAGAGGGAGGAGAAGACATGGAAAATTACAATAGGGTCACAGGAAGAAGAGGGAAATCAGTGGGGAACTCTGCTCATTGTATTAGATATCGATACACAAATGCAAGTAGTCAATAAGAATAAAGAAGCAGCAGTATAAACATAAGCTAAATTACTCAACTGGCATTAGAGAAACTTGGTGGGATAAATCTTATGACAGGAATACTGTTACAGAGGAGTATAGCTTGATCAAGAACAGACAGAAAAAGGGAAGAGGCATTGTATTATATACCAGAACATATACATTTGACCTGGGGCCCAAAAGGAAGTGAGGCAAACCAATTGAGAGTCTCAGAATAAAAATATAAAGGGGGGCGGAAAGAGGAAATAGCTATCAACGATAGACCACCAAATTAGGAAAAGGAGGGGAATGAGGCATTTCAAGAACAGAAATACCAAAACAGAAGACTTGCTAGCAATGGGGAACTAACTACCCAGACCATTAATGAAAAAGCAACACACAATTCCCAGTACTTTCTTGTAATGTATTGGGGACACCTTTTTGTTTCAGAAAGAGCGAAGGAAACAGACATGTTAGACTTGATTGTGACCAACAGGGAAGAACAGGTTGCAAATCTGAACATGGAAGACAGTTTGGATGAAAGTGATGATGAAATGACAGATTTCATAATTCTAAGAAATGGCAGAAGTGAGCACAACAGAAGAAAGACAATGGATGTCAAAAAAGCATGCTAACACACCATAAACTTCGCTCTTCTCATAGTTAGAATTAGAAACTTTTGTCTAATTTCAAGCCTAAATGTACTGATGGACAGTTTATCCCCATTTGTTCTTTTGAGGGAAAGCAAACATTGGGGTGGCTAGTGGAGTCAACAGTGGACCCCATTCCAACATAGATGAAAACAGCTATTGGTATTTGGACTCCTTGCAATTTAGATTAATTGATGCTAGAGCATCCAACTCAGAGGAATAGGCAGAAGTAGTGACAGTGATGCTCAACAACCTTCCAGGGACTCATGGGTCAGGGTACAAAAAAGACCACCCTGGCAATTGTGCCAAGCATCGTACAGGTACTGAGGTTTTCATCTCTGCAACAGTGACAATGCTACTGAGGTTTGGCAGGAGGTTCTGATCTTCTCTTTGATACCTCTTTGGGTCTATTTAATGCAGAATGAGGGATTTGTTCCCAGTAGAGCACAGAGGAGATTAAAACCTTGAATCTATGGTAGAAAGTGGCATTAAGGATGGAATGCCACAGTGCATCTTGGATCCAATGGCTGAAGATCTCAGCACTAAGACTAGTCGTAATGTCCTACATGGACCCATCAAGGTATCAGGCTATAGGTAGCAAGAAGCCAGGTGTGTCTGAACCCTCACATTTCCTGCATCTGATGCAGAAAGTGACTGTGCAGCAGATCATACTCTGGCTTTCCCAAATGGGTTTCACTCATGCATAGAAGGTGCCAAAAGTGGGTACAAGTCTTAAAGCCCTGTGGGGATTAGGGCCCAGCAGTTCTGATAAAGGATAAGGAAAGGGTCATCTATTCTGAACTATCCTATATAACACTAAAAGCTAATAAAGAAAGAATGAGGGTAGGCAAAGGGATGATTTAGTTTAGTGTAAGGACACAAAAGCAGGTTCCATTTGCTCTCTGTGGTGACAGATTATCGAGGCAATTAAGAAATATATAAGATAGGGCAAATTCTCTTGTGAATCTCCTGATGGGCACAGTTTTCCAAGGCACTGTCACAGCTCACTGCCAAAATGTGGCTTGGCTTGTTTACCTTAACCAAAAGAAGGCTGAGGGGGGACATGATTGCTCTCTTTAAATATATCAGAGGGATAAATACCAGGGAGGGAGAGGAATTATTTAAGATCAGTCTCAATGTAGACACAAGAACAAATGGATATAAACTGGCTATCAGGAAGTTTAGACTCGAAATTAGACGAAGGTTTCTAACCATTAGAGGAGTGAAGTTCTGGAACAGCCTTCCAAGGGAAGTAGTGGGAGCAAAAGACCTATCTGGCTTCAAGATTAAGCTAGATAGGTTTATGAAGGGGATGGTTTGATGGGATAACATGATCTTGGCAACTAATTGATCTTTCACTATCGGTGGTAAATAGGCCAATGGAGGGATGATAGGAGTTACTATAGAGAACTTTGAGTGTCTGGCTGGTGAGTCTTGCCCACATGCTCGGGGTTTAGCTGATCGCCATATTTGGGGTTGGGAAGGAATTTTCCTCCAGGGTAGATTGGCTGAGACCCTGGAGGTTTTTCGCCTTCCTCTGTAGCATGGGGTACAGATCACTTGCTGGAGGATTCTCTGCATCTTGGGGTCTTCAAACCATTATTTGAGGACTTCAATATCTGAGATATAAGTGAGAGGATTATTCCAGGAGTGGGTGGGTGAGATTCTGTGGCCTGTGTTGTGCAGGGGGTCAGATTAGATGATCATAATGGTTCTTTCTGACCTTAAAGTCTATGAGTCTATAAGTGGGAATATACATAAGTCCTCTAAAAGAAGGGACAGTCATTAAAAAAGCCTACAGGTCCCATATGGTCCATCAAGCTCAAGCCAAAAACAGGTTTCTATGAGAACTTGGGAGTGATCATAGGTATGGATTTTTTTTTTAATTCTGGCTTCCAAGAAATTAAAGACACTAAACATGATTTAAAATACCTCTTTAGGGTGCTTGCAGTCATCTGACATCTGTTTTAAACTTGTAGAGTGAGAAGGGAAGTCAGATAACATGTTCTATAGAAAGCTCAGTACTTACTGCTATAGTCACCATATCCATAGTAGTTGTTGTAACCAGTGTAGTCATATCCTCCATAGCCACCGTACCCTGGGCTGTTGTAGCCATAGTTGCCATATCCCTGATTCCAGTAGTTACTATATCCCTGGTTCCAGTTTTGACTGGGGCCTGAAGCAGAGTAGTAAATTGACAAAATTAGAAAGCTGAAAGAATATAGCCACCTCTCTAAAATTAATAAAAAGTTGAGCAAGAGCTTACCACCACCTCTTCCACGAGCTCTTCCAACAAATCCTCCTCTACTTCCCCATTGCTGTTGCTGCTGATACTGTTCCTTTGACATTGCTACTTTTATTTCACACTGGAAGATCAAAAATTAAAATCAAACCTAACTTAAAAGAGCAGCGTTCAAAGTAATTTATAGCTTACTGACTATAAGTTAGTACTTTAGTTAATAGAGGAGCACAGAATTAAAACTGGTCACAGTGGAGACTTAGGAAAAATAACAAATAACTTCAACCTAAAATTCATCTTTAGAAGTGGGTTGTGCCCATGAAAGCTCATGATACCATCTACTTTTTTTTGTTAGTTTTTAAGGTGCTGCAGGACTCTTCATTGTTTTTAAAGGTTTTTCAACCTAAAAACAGTTACCTACTCTATTTCACAGTGTGTGAAAATTCAGTGACAAACTGTTTCCAGCATTTCTGGGGTAGACACTAATTCTTAAAAGAAATGCTGAAATTAAACTTTGTTCCCCCATCCTTCATTTTTCATCTGAATGACAAACTATAGCTTTAGAAAGTTTGGACCAGATTTGAATTACGAAAGAATCACTAGTTTTCCTCGGTTATATTTTGAATGTTCAACTCAGCTGCCAGCATATAAACAGCTATGTAAAACTTTAGCTTTGATTTTATATTATTTTTGCTATTGGCTGTACTTACACAAGGTGATGAAACATCTGAACTATATATTCCTCAACTATCCAGGATCCAATAGAAAGCAAGTTTCCATTTTGTTTTAGTACTAATTTAAGACAATTTTTACTGATTTACACCTTACTTGAGTATTGACTAACAAGAAAGCATTTTCCAGTGATTGAATAGTTAAGCTAGGATGCAAGCACAGGTTGGACCTCCCTGGTCTGGCACCTTTTGGCTCTAATCAGTCCTAGATGAGGGATTTTGCCCGACCACAGGAAATCATTTTGGACCCCCTGCCACCAGCCCCCGTACTCCCAGCCGAGGCCTACTGGCTGCTTCCCTACCTGCACGCTGGGGCTCCCAGTCCCAGGGGTCCCTGCTGCTGGCACTCCACTGGGGCTCTCTGGTCTAGAAACATCTGTGCCAGACCACAGATGTTGATGGGCCAGACTCTCCCAATTTAGAGAGTTTCAACCCACAGAACATTGATTCCAAGAAACCACACTTTCCAAAATTATACATAAAGTATATATGGGAGAAGAGTACAGAGAAGTGGAGGGGAGAGATTTCTGGGTTTCTGAAGGAAGCTGTAGAAGGCCCTGAGGGAGGTGGCAACTTGGGAGGAAGACGACAAGAGGTAAGTCTAACCCAGAGGAGGAGGATGGTAGGGAAGTTTGGTGCACTGAGTCCTACCAGTGGAAATTCAGGGCTTTGGGGATAAGCGAGTATGTAGTTGCCAGACCTCTGAATGAGAAAGGATGATAAAGTGCCTAAGGCCACAACCTCTTGTTGGAAGCTAGACTGCCATAGAATGCTAGAGTCTCTTTTGCAGAGGAAGACATGTACAGTGTTTCCCAACATGCCTCAAAAACCGAGGTACAGGCTTTCCCCGAGTTACGTGGATCCGACTTATGTCGGATCCGCAGTTACGAACGGGGATTTTCTCTCCTCCGGGGCGAGAAAAGCTGCTCCCCGTCTCCCTGGTCTGCTGTGGGGGGGATGCAGCTAGTGCTCTGCCCCGGGCTTCCTGGAATCAGCTGCTGATCAGTTTCAGCAGTGGCTGAATATGGATGCCAGTTCCGACTTACATACAGATTCAACTTAAGACCCCCAGGCGTCCCCAAGGCAGCTGCTGCTGAAACTGATCAGTTTCAGCAGTGGCTGAATATGGATGCCAGTTCCGACTTACATACAGATTCAACTTAAGAACAAACCTACAGTCCCTATCTTGTACGTAACCTGGGGACTGCCTGTATACTTGGTGCCTGTATAAGGCAAACATTAATGAGCTAAAACTCTATCTTAAAACTACATTTCCATTTATTTCCACACATAAAATGGAGGCAGCTCTTAAAGTATTCAACACAGAGAAAGTTATTTGCTCTTTTACCACAACCAATTCAAAGTTTCTCTATTAAGATTTTTAACATACTTTACTAAGACCGACGTTGTGGTACTTTTTTTCCATTATTTTCTTCACTGGTTCCTCATCCTTGAAAGTAATAAAGCAGAACCCACGCCTTTTGTTGGTTTTGTTGTCCATAGGGAGTTCTATAGATTCCACCTGGTGAAAACAAGTCAGTATATTTCAATGTCATTCTTATCAAACAACTCTCCATACTTTACTAAGTTTAAATACAAATAATCACACACCGTTACATCTGTATAGCTCATTAGTTAACTGAACCTATTTAACCTTTAGCTGATATATGCAGGTAGCAAGTTTCCATGCAAAGGCATTTTGATATATGTCATGTTCACATACAAATGTTTAGTTTACAAGCTTTACATGTTATATAAAGTCTTGAATAATGACATCAGCAAGATTTGCTTCACAGTATTTTTCAGTTACTAGGGAAGTAATGGTGTAGTCCAGGAGTGGCCAACCCATTTAATAAAGAGAGCCAAAACAGCGGCGGAAAAAATGTGAACAGCTGCACCAGAGTTGTCAAGCAAACAAACAAACCCCAGAACAGAATTGTCGAGCAAAACAAAACAAAACAAAAAAAAAATTAAAAAAATTTTTAAAAGGAGGCTGCCCCTTTAAGACGGCTCCCCCATCTTGGGCGCCATTTTTAAAACCCCGCAGCTCCGACCTGGTAAGCACAGGGAAGCCAGGGGCTGGGGCGGACAGCTGCACCAGAGTTGTCAAGCAAACAAACAAACCCCAGAACAGAATTGTCGAGCAAAACAAAACAAAACAAAAAAAAAATTAAAAAAATTTTTAAAAGGAGGCTGCCCCTTTAAGACGGCTCCCCCATCTTGGGCGCCATTTTTAAAACCCCGCAGCTCCGACCTGGTAAGCACAGGGAAGCCAGGGGCTGGGGCGGA